ATAATTTCGATTTAGTAATTTCTAGAAATTAACAAAAACAATCAAAATTAAATAAAGAACTCCCTCATTTCTTTTTAATTTATTTTGACTTGTTGGACAAGTGAATTCAAATCCTCCAATTTTGACTTTATCGTCATTTCACTATCATGTTCAACTGCAACCACCAGTTGGATTAAGATTCACCAATCTTAACTCATGCCAAGTACCATAATCTTTGAGTAGAATTATATCATTCACGTATAGGAGAGTTCTCTTCAATTACGATTAAATAACACGATTTTTGCTTTGAGATATTTCATTAGAATATCACCCGAGCAGAACTCATTGGAGACGGTCAGAAGACACGAAACTTGCTACTGCAAATTCACTAGGCAGATGCAATTTTTTCTCAATGTGTTGATTCACCCCTTAATGATTTTCTTTAGTTATGTAAAGACTCCATCTAGGCACAAACGTCTCTTACCTAAAATACGTCAGTTTCACACAATAAAATAATGTAAAATATGTTTGATATGGTCAATAATTAAATTAAGAAAAGTTTTGATTGGTTAAACCATTTTTTACTATCTTTTAATTATTTGACGAATCAAATCGGTCCTAGTGGTAAATATGAAATTTTTGGACATGGAGCTACATGGAATGTAAATATTGCATCTTGTTTAAGGCATGTAAACTCTAATATCCGCAGCCAAAAAATCTATTTACCTGTAGTACCCAGTCAGTCCTAACTGGACTGACTGGCTTACCTATTTGGAATGCATCGGTTGAGCAGATTTTTGACACATGTTCTAACATTTAAAAATCATTCTAATTTAATCAAGCCAATAAATAAATAAATAAAATATAAAATATATTTTACTTGCAAATTAAAAACTAAAAAATAGTTATTCTAGCTCATCGCCTTTAAATCAAGACCCTCAAAAGAATTCCTCTAGATAATTAGACAAGTAGCAACAAATCTAAGAGAGAAATGTAGTGTCTATTTGGAATTTTGAAAACTTGATTAGATTAAACCCCTATTTGGTTTGTATTAAAATATAAGTTGAAGTTACTAATTAATTTTGACTACATATTTCATCAAAATCTACTAAAAATTTAATTTTTAACTATAGAGTATGATGAGAAATGATGTACTACGGAAATCATTCTTATTGACCATTGGTGATACCTTCTTGAAATGCCACTGTACTCTGTCAACACAAGCCGTGCAGTGTAGGTAGCGGACACTTCCTCGGGTTAGGAAGTGACCATTACACTGAGCAATGAAAACAAACATTCTTGGGAGAAGTAAGATTGACAATTGATATAAGAACTTAAGCTCAAGTGTTTTTTTTCACTTTGCTTACTCGAAAGTCGAAACCAATAACTGAAAACTAAAACAGAAGCCTAGCCCCAATAACAATCAAGAATTAAACATGGTTAAACTAAAAAATGTGTGACAAACGAAATCATTATATAGATGTTAAATCTAAAAACTATAGCGTCTATACCAATGTAATATGAGTTGTGGATAAGTTAAAAGCCATGCAGCGTGAAAATGAAATATCAAACCCTGGGAAGCACCACTACATTGTAAAAGGTAGCTGCAATATCATGTCCAAAACCAAAGCCCATGACAAACATTCTCCGGCTTAATGAAATACTCGTCGAAAATTCATGCTAACGTCATCAGTCTCAGATAAAAAGAAAGCTGTATTTTTATTTTTTAATTTAATTGAATAAATTACAAACACCATATGATTGGAGGGAATGCAGAAAATCAAATCAAAGTCAGAGTCAAGATCAGTAAAATCAAGTTGGCCATTCAATCAAATTGCCAAGGCACCTCAATTAATCCATTAAACCAAATTGCTGATACAATAATAGACACTGGCTACAGAGAATAATAAGTTTGTGAGTGTATTACTTCATTTACAGAACACTTAATGTTTACTCTGTCGATAAAGCCTTGCAACGAGATAAATAATATGGTTCATTTCAAGGATAGTCGATAGACTAATGAATAAGGAGAAAGATTCAGCAAATCAACAATCAGAGTCGAACATGGTGTCAAAAAAACCCATCAGAGTCGAACACCAATCAGATGAAACCTAAGTTTTACTCAGCAAACTCACTAGATGGAGATACTCTAGGTTCAAATATATGTTTCTATTTCCAAACTCGATGCCTTTTCAACTTTTTCTTTGTTTCTCTCCTGAGGCTAGTCTTTAAAAGGTTCTATAGCTGGTTTTAAGATTCAAATTATGGAGATGAAAAATGATGGGCAAAGTACTCTTTAGTTACTTGCATTTTTGTATTTCCTGAACCAATCATAACTTTCAACTGCAAAAGAAACTAACAATTAATGTTTGCATGCATCATTGCATCGTGCTCTATCAGCTAGTAATATCCATATATAGATAAAACTCTTATGCCGCATGTATATGTTTGTGAATGTAAGTAAATTAAATTTTGTTTGGTAGTGGTGTATTGAGTAAATATGTAGACTTTTAAGCTTACCATGTGCTAAATAATGTAAAAAATTTTGTATCCTGCTTCTATCTTTTGAGTACTAAATATGATAGCCCCAAATGGAGGCCAATCCAACTTAGGCCATAAAGCACCGAAGTTGGGGGCAAGTTAGTCAAATTGGGACATCAAAGTCATGGTAAAAATTAATCTCTATTCAACAGCCAAGTCATTCTTGTGGGTATGGAACAGCCATTCTTTCCTCATCCTGTTTGTTTCGGTCAATATCAGTCTCTATTCAATAGCCAAAACGAATGGCTGTTATCCCTCTTCGAAGGTCCCATTCTTTTTTTTTAAATTTTATACAGCGCCTATCACTGGCATCTAAGCAATTGGATTTCTGTTGATGATTTCAAAAGCAATTTTCATGCTCTGGATATATTGCTGAGCTTTCTTATGAGGCTCAGACTTATGTTTCTCAGCTATTCTAATTCAGTAATCTGATAGATCTGCTTTCCACCATTTCATATTCAGATGCATCAAACTGATTGCACCAGTGTCCACTTTGAGAACAAGTTCGTTTATTTAGGTCATCCTAGTCACTACCTGGTTATAGTATTATAGGTTTCTGCTTCTACCCCCGCTGAAGAGAGAGAGAGAGAGAACATGCAACGGCAAGAAAAACACACATAAAATTTGTTAGCCTTTCATCGCTTGGTGCACAAGTGCACATTGGTCAAATTGATTTAATATATCTTTCTTGTTTTTCTGGGAGTTTCAAATGATGCAAGTCTTCCGCTGGATCCATTCCTTGCCAGTTCTAGGTGAGACTACTGCAGACTCGTAACTAGTCTCTAATATCATTCTTCTCTTTCTACTACTTTGCATCTTATCACATCTCAACATTAGCATTTCCAATTTCTTTTCCCATCCTAAGTTTCTGTTTTGATGGTCGAGTCAATGAAAAATTGTAGAAGTTAAAAATATACAAGAACTAAAAGTTTCCCACTGTTAGAGACCACACATTGAATATGTAGCCTAAAAGTTCGACAGCTGCTAGAAGGTGCCCTGCCTTTCAGTGAGCTCAATTCAATATCTACACTTACAATTGATTCAATTCCATAATCAAATAATTTATCAATATTTTTCTATACAACTTTTTTTTGCATAAATACATAAACAATTAAAGTAAGATAACAAAAAATATAATGTTTCAAGTGTAACTTCGAATTATCAACACTCACATCACTGAGTTATCAAATAGCATTTGTTGCATATACAGCAGAGTAATGACAGTCATCACTCAAACAGTGACATAGAACTAATACCATATGAAGATAATTAATTGCAACAAGTTTAAGAGTTAAATTTCAAAATATTGACCTCACTCTGGAAATGGTATAATAAAGTAAGAGATGCAATTCAACAAGAAAATTTTCCAGTTTCAGCTGCTCAAGTGTTCATATATCCTTCAAACTCATGTATGTTAAGGATAAATTAAAGTGATTCATTGGTGAGGAAGCTTAAAAACTCATCTACAGAGCAAAATCTGAAGGGTCTGCGACCTTCCACTGGATAGCAAATACCAAAAAGGTTAAACTATAAAGAAGGAATTGGTGGAGATTTATGGTTTATTTGTGTATGGGTATGTGTGTATTTTTTATTTTTTTTTTCTGTGTTTGGGGGGGGGCTACGGTAATAAAATTGACAGAAGATGTCCATGTGAAGAACTAGCTTAAACTCCGGTTGCAAGCCTCCAAAATGGTAAAACCCCGCGGCAAACTATATATTTGTATCGAAAAAGGAGCTTTATGAGCAACTTATCTTTGGGGTAGAGGCATAACATTCTATCATTTCTTATCCAGTAATTATAGTTTATTATATTGACCTGCAGATCTAAGAACCATGGTTTATCTGAATGTATCAGTCTATGACACACTTTGATACGGGAAGAAGCAAAGGTCCAATTGACTAATTTGGCAACTCTAACTTGTAACTAAATAGCTAGCAGCTTTATAGCAACAAAGCCCAGATACTCTTATCAGTTATTACAAAGACAAAAGGTTCTTTAGTCAATTTCTCTCCAGTCACAATTATTGCTTCTAGCATATCCTTTGGCCTCTTTTCACTGATGTCAAGTTTGAATGTCAATGTTTACAATACATTCTGCAAGGAAAAATGTTAATTGTTTCTATGGCTATAGTAGCTAATCAAACTTCATCAAAAGAAGCATTTGGGAAGAAATGATAATTTGAGTAAAATTTTACAGGGAAAGCATGAGGATGGAGCATCATATTTTAATGTCAAAACTTAGCCACACGCTTGAGCATCCTCAAAACATGTCTAACAAAATAGTGAAGTGCAAACTAATGTGCTCACTGATTGGTTAGGAGGTCTATTCTCTACCCGCAATAAGCCAAATCCAAGTTAAATCTTCATGGTTATCAAATCTACGAACTTGTAGAACTTCAGATACATTATTAAATAGCAATTTCCATTCACTTGACAATGGCACAAGACATGAATCCAAATATACACACAAAGTGATAGCATTTTCTTGAAAAGAAATTCATCAAGTAGACCAAAAATATGACCTCAAAAAGGTAAATTATCTACAATGTTGTACACATATAACACTTGTATGCAAAATTATTACAGGAAGTCATCAAGTGGCACATCAATATTCGACAAAAAGGAATAGAAATTTAATCAAACGAACCGTAAGATCAGTCAAGAAACTCAAATTCATCATCCCTCAGGTGTGCCGAGAATTTCACTGGCTTCCCATCACGCCCCAGAACCTCATCAGCCACGAACTCCACTTTATACGGCAAATTAGCTGAAATCTTTTTCCCCTTATGAACCCCAACATACTGCTTCACCACACCCACCATTCCCGTCAACTCGTATTCGGGCACTTTAGGCACATGGTAAACCTTTAGTGGCACCTTAACTCTGACCTTAGCCCCAATTTTCGACTCGGCTTTTTTCACCTCATCATCATTAACGCTATCATCGTCAAGAATTACAGAATTCATAGTTGTAGCCGAACAGCTAGGGGCCGATGACGAGGCAGCAACCGGTAGATTATCTATGATGGAAACGGAATCTGGGACAGATCTTATGGGGCGGAAATGGGAGAAATATGTCCTTCTTCTTGAAGGATATTTGATTTTGGCAAGATTAGTATCCGGGTTTGGGATTTTCGAGATTGGTATGTTGAAGAGCGAAGAAAAGAAGGCTGAAGAGGTGGTCATGGCGATTGATAGTGGTGAATTATGTGGAAAATTTGTTGGTCTGTCGAGGCGGGTTAGAGATTTGTTGTGGTGATTTACGTTATCTGGGGGTAATTGGCGCAAAACATCCTTACCTTTCGAGGTTATTGTGGAAAACGTCCTTACCTTTCATTTTTTGACATTTTTGCCCTTATTTACCACATTTCTTGCGCTAAAGGTCCTTTTCACTGTTTTTTGACGATTTTGCCCTCTATTCAAATAAAAGAAAAAGAATAAAATAGAAAACAAAAGAATTAATTGCAACTAATACATCAAAATTTCAAAAAATTACAAATTAGTAATAAATATAGGAGTTAATAGCCCAAATGGTTACTAAACTTTGCCAAAGGTCCAAAAAGGTCATTGAACTTTTTTAAATACAAAAAGAAAAAAAATCAAAAAAACCAACAAAAAAATTGAAGAAACGAGCCCCACCACCAAAAAAAAGGACCAAAAATAATAATAATAAAAATAAAATAAGGAATGTGAAAATGGAGGAAGGTGAAAAGTAAACCAAAAATTATTTTTTATTTTTTCAATC